CTCTCAGAATTTATATTCATTCAGTTTCATTTTGGTCAGTGTAAAGAATGACTGGATGATTCCAAACTGCAAACATCCCAAGTTCATGTTCCCATTTTTACGTTGTTCATATCCTCAAATGCCTGATAGTAACATTTTCACATTCTTAACATTAACTCTAATCAGTTGAAGACAATCTTTATTCAAATTTTTAACCACTCTTTGTAATTATCCTGATTTTGTCTTTAAGAGTACTCACAGGAAAAAAAAACGATAAGGTAAGTTTTAAGCTAAAAGCTCAAATCTAAAAGAAATAAAAAGTTACATCTTCCAAATACTGGCCATATTTCTCATGGGTCTACTCTATTAGAATACAAGGTCCCTGGTACACTTCAGAAGTTCCAGGGCCTAAATGGTGCCTGGTGCATTAGAGGAACCCAAGTCACATAAAGAAGGGATAAAAGCTTAAAAGTACCCAAATGACAATTAAATGTATCTGGATGGATAGCTATATGTTGAAATAGATAATATTACAACTAATGTAATACGAATCAAAGTAAAACACAAGGGGAAAAAAACTCTAGACAATATACAAGGATTCTATTAGACATTGATTCATTTTTCTGGACATCAAATTCATTATTCTGCGCAGGGAAATGTTATGCATTTGCAAAATTAAATGGGCAAAACTCAAGTGTAGGAATATAGTGTTTTAATACTTTTATATAGTTAATAATAGGAAAAGTATTTTCTGAAAGATAATTTATTTGAATTTATATGAAGATTAAACAATTACCTTCAATCTAAGAATCAGTCTCTAAAATTCAGAGTTTATATACTATTACATTTTCACACATCCAGTACAATGAGCTTAGCAGTTATAAAATATTTCTACTATGTCTTCTTCAAAGAAACAGACCAAATTCAAGGCAGAAAAGACAACATGCTTTACTTAATGACGGTCTTTTGAAAGCCAAAGAATATACATTGAATTGGTGACTTCAAATCCGGGTAAAATGTTTAAGTACGTCAGAAGATATAATTGATTTTAATGGGTGTATGATATTGCTGTCATTCCATAAAACTCTAAAAACATCTCAATATTTAAGTCATTTTCATAGCATCTATGACATTTTAACTCAACAAAAACAACAAAATTTCAGAGAGTTTTTACTAAATTATAACCATTTGATGTTAACTTTTAAATACATTATCAGGAACCACGTATGTTCTATCCTGTTTTATAATAGGGCAATCCTTTTTCTTCTAACACTTAATTGTCCTCTTTCAAAACAAGTAATAATTGCAGCCTAAATGAATACTTTATTTTTGACAGAATTAGTTCCTTTTGTTTCTGAGGCACTCTGTTCACTTAGCTTTATTAGCAAAATACACTGTAATTGGTTTTTGTGGGGTGTTTCTGAACATTTCTTTCTCACTATTAGACATTTAGGAGATGAACCATTTCTTATTTATTTTGTACATTCCCAGTACCTAACATTGAGCGGACTCCAACTCCTACCTTCAAAAATCCAGATTTCATTTTTCTGTGTTTACTCTGGATCCCTATGGTGCTCGCTTTGGCAGCACATATACCCTGGGTCTCTACTGATATAATTTTCACAACCAAATACCACTTGATATGCTGTTTTAAACTACATGTATTTTCTATGCTGTGAATTTTAATGGCAAGAAAATATCCATAATTTAAACTTTTCCAACTTGTTATCAACTTTCAGGATAGTTCAAGTTCTCTATTACATTGCAAACATACATATAGCTTTTTACTTCATTTGAACTGAAGCAAGTTCTAATGTATTTGAAATTACCATTTATAGTATAGGTTGAATATCCGTTATCCGAAACGCTCAGGACCAGATGTGTTTCAGATTTCAGATTTTTTTTAGATTTTGGAATATATACATTACACTTGCTGGCTGAACATCAAAAATCCAAAACCCCAAATCTGAAATGTTCCAATGAGCATTTCCTTTAAGCATCGTGTTGGTGCTCAAAAAGTTTAGAATTTTGGAGCATTTGGGGTTTGGGATGCTCAACCTGTATCTAGAAAAATAAACCTGAACAATTTGAAGGATTCAACATATCTGTCTCAAAGAAAACCATTTTTTAAAAAACTATTTTAAAATCAACCAATAGAAAGATTTTTAAAAGTTATGACTGGATGGGCATGGTGGCTCATGCCTGTAATCCTAGCACTCTGGGAGGCCAAAGTGGGAGGATTGATTGAGCTCTGGAGTTCGAGACTAGCATGAGCAACAGTGAGACCCCATCTCTACTAAAAATAGAAAAATTAGCCGGGTGTCATGGTGTACGCCTGAAGTCCCAGCTACCCTGGAGGCTGGGGCAGGAGGATCGCTTGAGCCCAGGAATTTGAGGTTGCAGTGATTTACAATGATGCCATGGCACTCTAGCCTGGGCAACAGAGCGAGACTCTGTCAAAAAAAAAACCAAAAAGCAGACCTACATGTAAGTATATGTCATATATGTCACTATGTAAGACATGCTTTTTGGTATTGTAGGAGTTCAGAACAGAGCAATAATGTTTTCCACGTATTTAGAAGATTTGGGCCTTCAAAGAATAGGAGACAGAGCACATTGCAGGAGTGAAGATGAAAAAAAGGTTGAGTCATTAATACGAGCACAAAGAGGGTATAATTGGCCTGATCAGAGAAGGTGGATGTTTGGCAACAGTGAAAAAAAGATTACAAAGAAGGGGGAGGTAGATTACAGAAAGAGTTAGAAGCCCCATAGAGAGGTTCACTGATGGTTGAGAAGGAAAATGGTGGCCACTGAGGAGTTCTCATAAGGAACTGTCATGGTTGGTTTTCTCAGGAAAATCAGCATAGCAGCATTATATGGTATGACTTGGGGGAATGAAACACAAAACATAACCGTGTCAAGAAGGTTGTAGCAATAATCCAAATATGAGGTGACTGCAGTGTGGATGAGGGCAGAGGACACAGAAGAAACAGAAAGGGATACTTCAAAAAAAAGAAAGGATTTTTAATTAACTCAATTTAAAAAAGCAAAGCAATGAGTCAGTCCTATGAAGGTTTCAATTCTAGACAACTAGGTAGGTGTTATTTCATTGACACAGACAGGGTTGGTGGAAGGTAGAAATTTAAGGAGAAGATAATAGGTTTGATTTCAGACTGCTTGAAATTTGAGTAGACAGTCATAACTACAATAGTATAACTAATCCTTACGAGTGCCAGGCAATTTTTAGATGCTTTATATGTATTAATTCATTTATTCCTCTAAACAATCTTAATGAGATAGATAATACTATTATTCTCATTTTAAAGACGAAATTGAGATACAGAGAGGTTAAATAACTTGCCCAAGGTCACAAGATAGTAAGCAATGAAACCAGGACTTGAACCTGGACTCAACTAGTTTGCTGCATTGCCACTCATGACATGAAAGAGAAGAAATGTTTAGGAGGCAAAATAAACTTAAACAGTTACACAAAAAATGAACATATCCATAAAGTTACCTGGCTCTATACAGAAAAACTTCATAATTTGACATTTTTAATAACCAACTATGTTTTTTTATGTCTTGAAGAAAGGAACTTTTTTTTTTCTTTTTTTAAAGTTTTTTTATATGAAGGAGTGGGGGGTTGTGAGGAGGGGTACTCAGTTGCCTTGTTTGTTTTTGTTGAGACAGAGTCTCGCTCTGCTGCCCTAGGTAGTGTGCAGTGGCATCACTGTAGCTCACTGCAACCTCTGACACCTGGGCTCAAGCGATCCTTCTACCTCAGCCTCCCAGGTACCTGGGACTAAAGGTATGAGCTGCAACGCCCAGCTGGTTTTTTTTTTTTTTCTGTCTTTTTGGTAGAGATGGGGTCTCACTCTTGCTCAGGCTAGTCTCTGAACTCCTGAGCTCAAGGGATCCTCCTGCCTCGGCCTCCCAGAGTGCTGGGATTATAGGTGTGAACCAC